ATTGTAATGGGAATGTTTATGTTGAAAGTTACAGGGTATTTTGCTACTTGCACAACTGAAAAAAGAATAGCTCAGCCAGAAACCTGCCTGGTATGTGTGTGCCTGTGTCTGTGTATGTTTTATAGCGATGATTGATTTAACAAGCAAGCAATCTTTGCCAGTGGTCTTGCTAAAAGATCAAATACTTTTGTTTAGTTCTGTTAGCTGATGTTAACCTGTTACTTATTCCCATCTTTTGGTGAGCTGTAGCAAAATTTTGCCTCCGCCAGGCAAAAGAACAGCATGCTTTACTTAAGTCTTACAGCAAAAACCTCTCCTTCTCAGAGCCTTAGAAAAAAACTCTCTTACTAACTTTCCCATTATTATCACAGACTTCTTCTATTAAAAAAAAGTTCCAAGGATTGCTTTCATGGACTATGTACATAAGTGCAAAGAAGGTGTCTCACACATTCGCACCCTAACTGAGACGATGAGTTCACTGCAGCATATGTCTCTTAAACACTGCTAAGGGGTCATTCCACAGTACCTCCATGGATAGTCTTACAAATATGAATTCACTTTTAAATATGCTCTTGTCTTTCTTGAACTTGTATTTGGATGTGCTGATTTATGTCACTGCAGAAAAGAGGATTTTTGTAGCTATGACTTTGCCACTTGAATAAATTTTGAATATTTATGAAAAAGGTGGCGTGGTGTATTACCAATGCAGCAATTGTGTTTGGAAGTTCAAATACTGTGGAATAACCCAATCCACACAACACATTCTATAAGCTATAATGCCTGACTCTAGAATCCATGTGTTGCAAACTTTTTGTGTAAAAAGTCACACACAGACAGAAATTTAACTTTCACATGGGAACATGGGATTCAAAAAACAAAACTCAACCATATCTGCTTTCTGAGTTTTGAGCTGTACCTTTTACATGCTCATACTGTCAAAAACCACGCAGAGTTTACAAGTAAAATCTTCACAAATAAGTGTATCTCAAGGTAGCCATGTTGTAGTTTTGTTGCTAAAGCAACCACTAAATATAATTCGTTAAAATTATTATTTGTATATAAAATTAAGTTTGTTCTGAAACTGTGAGGTGTAAAGAATATTTATGGACTATAACCTCTATCTTGTCATGCTTCAGTGTCAGTTTAGAACCTATCTAGTTGGGTTGAATACACGTGGTAAAATCTTAAACTTACTCTAACTCTCCTTCAAAATTAAGTTCATGAATTACTAAAAGATACAAAAAAATAAAAAAATAAAAACCTTAAAAACTAACAAGAAAAATGAAAATAAGGCACCTAACTGGAGAGTTGGTGCTCAGAACTTACACTTGTTGTTATATTTACACTTTGATTAGGCAGTCAGTGAAATTTTACAAGAAAGTTGAAAGACACTTTAACATATTTTTTGTTCTATTGTTCTTGACAGGCACTAGTAAAATTAAAAGTTAAGTCGCTGCCTTCCTAAATCTCTTCAACCGAATTGGGGAAGTGTATTTCCCTCAATCACATTTCCCTATTTCTGCTTCAATGTGTATGAAATGTAGAAATGATAAAAAGAAAGAGGATTCCAGTTTCTAATCATTCTGTGCATCACAACCTACACTACAGACTAAAAGAACTCGGAAACCTTGTGGCTGTATTTTACCTAAGAGCAACCTCGCCTACACTCTCCAAGGTGTGGGGCGGGGGAGAGAAGTGAACAAATATTCCAAGGAGCACATGGATCTCCCCGCCAAATTATTCAATGAAATGCATTGCCAATGTTGTTCCTCATTTGGACATCAATATGCTTACTGGTTATGCCATTTTAAAACAGATTCAAGTTGTAGAGATTAATTTCAATTGGGCCCTGCTGATGGCAGGGAGGAGGTACTTGCTTTTCCCAAATTGGAGAGATGGTGAGCTGAGGTTGCCCTTTGGTGAACACAGCCTTGTGGTGCAGGACAACACTATGGCAAGATCAAAGTGCTTTAGCATGTTCAAAAATGGATGGAGACTGATGGAGCAGGGAGAAGATGGTCTTGCACATCACAATCAAGTACAAATTAGAGAATGTAATTGAGACAAGTGAGATGAAATGCAACAACCGGTGGTGGAATCATGCTCCCATTGCAAAAGGAAATACTGTAATACAGTAGCAATTTTATGAATCCATTAAATTTAAATTTAATTTTAATTCCTTTAAAAAATACACTTATGGTCACACAGTGCATTTTTTTGACAAAATTAACATCACTAAAACCCTCTTAAAAGATAACTTTTAATTAATTTCTCTCTAGATATGACCTGTTTTATCCACGTTTCAGCACTCTTGTGAATTTTTGCAAAAGGCTGAGAGAAATGGAAAAAAAAAACAATAATTTTGGATAAATTACAAATAGAGGCCATTGTAAAGTACAAAGCTTATAAAATGTTAACTAAGAATCACAATGATTAGAATTTTATATTTACAATTTATCTAGTAAATCATTATCTTTAGAGTCACTGATTAGTTTGTGACTTGCCATTTAATTGGAAATTTATAGTCTAATGACTTATCTTTCTCCTTTTCTTGAATAAAGATTATTTGAATATGCCATTGCACAACTAGAGTATTATCTTCAAATTTCATTTTTGTCAAAATTCTTTTGCATCTGATTAAAACTTTAGTTCTTCAAATCTTCCTTCTTTAAATCCATTTACAAAGCAACTTTTAAAATGCCAACAGTATCAAGAATCGTGGCACCAAAATACAACTACTCTGAATATCACTCATTGAACTTCTTACTACAAAATAAGTCATTATTAATGTCTTCCAGTGCTTTTAAAGCAACATGAAAACAGTTGTATGTTCAGTTTACTGTCTTTGCACATCTTCATCAAAAGTTAAAAAAGTTAAATGAGACAGTACATTGCATCAAAATGTCCAACTACACGTGACAGTTCATTTTGCACTGAAAATGTCTCTATGTCCCTTCAGGAATGCATCCAGACGAGCTCAGGCGCATCTTCTCTGGATTGCTGTCATCAGATCTGCCTCTGGAGAGGCGCTGGCACAAGTTATACAAAAATTCAGCTTCATACACAAGTAATTTCACAAAGGTGTACTCTCCATTCTTGTCTAACAATATTAAGATTTTGGGAAACAGAAATCGTTCAAAGAATCAATAAACATCAGGACAGCTCTTGTTCTCTAACTTCAGGCAATACTGATAACAGAGGAAAATGGCTCAAAACAAGCATGATAGTCATAACTGGATTGATAATTAAGATCAACAGGATGTCAACTACCAAAGGATTAATTTTGCTCTTTTGTATTCTGAGTCGAAATGATCTGCTTTGGGGTAGAATCTCAAATTTTTGAAGTACAAACAATGTGAACAAGAGGAACACGGAGTGTCAGGCAGTATTTCTGGGTCCAACTACCACGAAGTAACAGGGAGCCTCAGTGTCATCCTCAGCTGTGAAATGGTTTTGCCAACTCTACTGTTCTGTGATTCAAACACTAATAGCTTCCTTAAGATATCCTAAAGCAGGTTTTCTCTTTGCTTCTCATTTTCATGAAGGAGAAAAGTAATCCTGTTCATGCATATCAAATTTGATGTTTTTATACTTTCCAGTGGGACAATAGCTTTACAGGAAATACTGAATCTAAGGGGATGCAAATTATCATATGTTTATCATGTAATAATAATATAAACTTAATAACTGGATACGAAGATATGCCACATACCATAAGAATTTACTATTTTACTTGGTTATAGAATTATTTCATAGGGTTGAATAATGTGAATTTAGTTCAGCTCTGTGGGGCTTGGGACACTCTGGGTTCATCCACAGAAATTAAAACTTCTTCATTACAATTTTCAAATACATAGCAAGACAAACAATTCCAAGAAAACAAAAAGGTTACTTATGATGTCAAAGATTGTTGTTAATAACGTTTGGGAAGGGCAACATTGGACATATATTACAGAAACTTGCTCCTTCTCTGAGGTGTTCAGTGAAGTTGGAAACTTAGTTGAACTTAAGTTAAAGACATTTGTGTGCATCCTTTCAAGAGTTTTTAAATACATCAAAGAATAATTGTATATGTCTCCCTACCTCCTCCACACTTGCCTTTTTTCCAAACCTGTACTCAGGTTCCAATTGTGATCTATAGAAAGGGCTGTACATTTGTGGAGGAAAGGCCTCACTTGGAACCAATTCTCTTTCACCTTGACTGACTTTTGTTAGATTGCATCTTACTTATTATTCAAAGAATAGTCTAAAGAGCATGAGGCATTTGCATTTGGAAAATGGCACTTGTATAAAAGGTTACATTGCAGTGATTTTTACACACTTTCCTTTAGTATGTAAAAACTATCTCCACACCTCCCATCTCCCTATTTAATTTATAACCTGTAATTAGCATACCTTTAAGCCTCCAAGTACCAATTTCACAGCTAAAGATGACAAATGGGTCCATTTTAGACACTCAACCTAGGAGACAGGATCCTTGAGCCACAAAAAGTAATGGGCACTTAACATAATTTTTAGTATAAATGCTGAAAAATTCATTTAAAGGCAAATTCTTGTTTTCCAAGCTACATAGGAGGAGTGAAATTAGGGGTTAATGTTCTAAAAAGTTTCCTGAATTTTGCAAGTAATTCTTTCTCTCTCACAAAAATCCAGTAATGTTATCGGATTATGCAAGGTCAGATCTGCAGGTACCAATTACATGCCTGCATGTTTATGTGTGCAGATTTTGTGCACACTCAAACATGAGGACTTTGAAATGTTTGCCCTAAGAAACCTACAGAAGTATTACAAATAGAGAGAGTTTATCAACATTAATCGTGCATGTTTTTCAAGCACATGTATTTCTGTTTCCCATTAATAACATTTTTTAGTTGAAATCATTTTAGTTGAAACACCACACAAATGCAATAAACCACTGTAGTATGTAAAAACCTAACACAACACACCACAACACACCACAATACAATACAGTACAAAACAATACAATACAATAACAGGGGAAATGGTATCAGATATATGTGTTACATTCTAAATCAACCCAACAGACTACTGTGTAAACAAAGCAGTAAGGTAACACTTCAAAAAAGACAAACATTTATCCACCAAGAATGCTCAGTAAACCAATAGCCCACTGTGGAGATCCACTCGGCATAATGGTTACTGGAAAATCACAAAGAATAATGTAACAAATCACACATTTTTATGATCATGTTCTACTTAGTAATTCAAATAAGAGAGATGGTAGTTATTAGTTTTCTATTTACGTTTTAACATCTTCATTGTGTAACGCTTTATTTTTATTTGAATTAGTTGGTTGTTAATGTTTGTGTTGCTTAATAGGTTGAGTGCACCACACTTATGATCGTGTTGGCAGAAGAGGACATACGAGATTGAGAATATATATAGAAAGGCCGAATGGAGGTCCTCACGGAGAGACTCTGATATTCCATACTTCTGTTGTTCAGAATTTCAACTGAAATTGAAAAAAAAAAAAAAAAGAAAGCATGAGAAATATTAAAGGGTTATTGAAGTCGATGTCAGGACACATGGTTCCAGTTCTGTATATGAACTATGACAAGATATTCCCCACTCTGCATTCCACATTCTACACCTCAGAAAATGTGTCTGTAGGAAATGGTCATCCAAGAGCCATATACCAGAATGTCTGATGGCTCTCATTAGGAGCTAATGTGGACAGTGGTCTTAAGTTCATAAAGATGCATGCAGTCATTTAAGGCATCAACTACACAATGCCAAAACTCTTTGACAAACATTCATCCATGCATTCATTTCCTTCAACGATTATATATTGAGAGCATGTGTTTGATACTAAATATTTTAAAATACGCAATTATTAAATAAACGTCAAACTTTTATCTGTTTGTATTGGAGGCATGCAGAAATAGCCTAAATGTATTTCACACAATTCCATTTTTGAACTTTGGACTTATTTTCAACATCGGTTACATACTGAAGTCATTGTATTTTGTCAATACCTCCAAATTTTCTAATGGGATGTAATGAATTACTCAAATGAATTCATTGGAAAAATGAAACACTATTCCCAAATAGGTTCCATTGGAAAGTTAACTACAGTCCATAACTTTCGTGTTTCTTGATGTGAACCATCTCATGGGGTTCAAGTAAGTGTCTGCAAAACCAATATTCTCATTATTGGTGCCATTCCCAAGTTGCCACTATCCCAACTGATACTCCTGCAAACATTACAAAAAACAATGTTGTTACTTTACTGATTCAATACTCATAGGGGTCTTTTAAAAACATTCCTTATGATTGAAGGTACATCCTTATCTCGAGTACAATGGGCTATCAGGTCTGTCCAGAACAGCTAGTGCTCTGGGTCTGGGTGTTCTTAGCAGGAAAGAAATACTAAGCAGGTCCTGGGGAACTAGTCCATGAGGAGAATGAAATTATTGCCTCCATCAACCAATTGAAACCCTCCGGTTGTGAAAACTTCAAAATTTCAATGACTAATGTATGCAGTTCAGAATCTGTATTTGTTTAATAAGTCCCTATAACTAATTAAGAAACCGATGAGTCTTAAGTGGCTTCAAAAGCCACATGTGCCAAGTGAATGATTGCTCAAATTAACTATGTGCTATTACAGACTCTGGACCAGGCAAAGGAGATCAAGAGGGAAGGGAGGGGGGGAGAATTCAACAACAACAATGGCAACAACAATGACAACAAAAATTATCTCTAAAAAGCCATGTTTTGAATGAAATGATCAAATACTTAAATTATGTTACTCAAAACAGCTGGAGAAACACTGATTGATTTACAAAGGAAGCAATGCAATGGCCGACTGTCAAAGCACTGGTTTCTGTACTGTCACAAGGGGAACGGTATTGCTTACTGTCTTTAGGATAATCATTTCAGTCAAATTGTGTTATTACTTTGCTTTATCGGCATTAAAAATGAAGCTAGAAAAATGTTAAAAAATTACAATTCAAAAGTGAATTGTGTCTTTGGCTAACAAAGCATACCCCTTTAATAATAGGAAATCATTTCTGAATTCCCAAGCTCATTTGGAAAATACAGTACCAGCTTCCATTTCTATATAAGCATATTTGCTTTCCATTTTTCAATTGGGAAAATTTGGAATGCTTCTATCAAGATCTAAGTTATAAGCAATTCTATTAAGGAAAATATGTTCCAAATCCTTTAGCAATTATATAAATAAAAGACATCACCTATAAATATTACTTATATTAATACTTAAAGAAACTTACTGTTCTACTGGTAACTTCTACATCTGTGAAACAAACATGCTGCTATTCAGTTCATCTATTGATAATTGGGGTATCTATAGTAGTAAAAAAGATTTTAGATTAAAATAGTTTCTAGAGAGAATTCCATTTATTTTGTTCACTGCTTGGGCATGGTAATCAATAACCATAAGTCAACTCCACAGAAATTTTAACCATCTCTACTAATAGCTAATTTTGTAAAGCACAGATTAGAATGTGGCTTGTTCCCCCAATGAGTTAATGCTCTGTGTGCAATTGGTTCTCATGCTTGTAACTGACACTGCAATGATACTGGCAGTCTTTTAGCATGGTTACCACTTTAAATAAGGCACATCAATAATAACATTATCACAATAATTATGCATGTATTGCCTTACAATTTCAAGACTTCTGAAAAAAGTTATAATTCATTGTCTAACTCTGCTTGGAAATACCTAAAGCAAATGAAAATCAAAACAACACAAGCACATCAAATGTTCGCATGAGAAGGAATTTCTGATGCAATCACTGGGTAATGATAAAGGTTATGTGCGTCTTGGAAAGAAATGCACTATTTTGCTTTCTTTCCAGTGGATCCAAATGTAAAGGCGATGACTACTAAGTGAGAGTTCAAACACAATAACCAAAAATGGTAGTAAAAAAATACAAACTTTCCTCTTCACTAATGAGGAAACATTTAAGAAATATTTAGTATATACATTTGAGGATTGGTTTGGCAGCAACAAGTGTAAAGATAACATATCAAGAGTGACATCTGGGAACTGATTCAAAAGGAGAAAACTCTGCTGATTCATCTTAGGATGAATAGGAAAGCAGACACACCCCCCCTAGAATATACAACCCGTCCCCAACATTCTAGTTATAATGACTGCTTAATAAACACCTAAGAATATGGACCAAATCTCTTACCAATCCAAAAGGCATATACTGTGCTTAACCCACACACTGTAGTTATCTAGGTGAAATAAATGGCCAAACCTGATTGCCTGTAGCCGTTGCAGCGAATGGAACGCTGGTGGCAGGTGTTGTCGCTGCAGACACAGTGGTAGGTGTAGCACCGTGCATCATGGGCACTTTCAGTAGGAAACCATGGAAGCAACACACAGGAAGTTGGAGCATTTATGCAACCATGACATAAACGACGAATGAGGCATGGTAGGTATCACAGCAACAAGCCATGTGACATCATCATGATGGATATACCAAGGTGCAACATGCAACAGTCAGTACAAAGCAACACAGCATGTAAGGTGGAGAAATTTGAAAAGAGAAAAGGGGAAAGCCAATTATAGTTATCATTAAGGAAAACAGATCATTCTCAACATTTAGTTAAGAGTTTGAGCAGAATCACATTGTAGTTGACTCAAAAGGTCAAATTTTCAGAAGGAGTTACACCAGGTGACATGAAAAATTTGATTTTATCAATACTATCTATCTGAATAACTGGTTAAACAGATAAGTAACTGGGGTGCACAGTCACAATGGGAGTAAGGAATTATGAGTTGTGTTTGGGTTCACTAAGATGGACATGAGTGCTTTCCCTGGATTTGCAGGCACAAAGGGCTAATTTCATGTATACTTACCTGGTGTGCATACCAAAAAAAATGGTAGTTCAATGGGTGGATATCTGGTAGGTGAGCAGATATGAAGAATACAGAGGACTATGCATGCAGGTTTCTGAGTACTCCTCTAGCAAACCCCTTGGAAACCTTGGCCAGTCACAAGCAAGTACTGCATAGTAAGTATCTGACAAAACCTGATCTTCACAGCGAAGATATTACAGCTACAATGGCTAGTAGCTGCAACATCTCTTTTATCATGTTTTCTCTACCTTTTCTAGTTTCTATCTCATTTTTCAAGCTTTTTTTTTTTTGGATCTTTTAATTTCTAGTTCATTGTGGAAAGCAAACTAAGGAATTAAAGTGTGAGTGACAATGTATGAATGGCAAAGCGTGCATATACAATCATCTATGTCTACACTGAAATCATCTATGTCTACACTGATTGAATTCAGATTTTTCTGTACATCTAAAAAGGGGCATGACTTGGAGAGTGGAGGATCAACAGTTGCGATGTCATAGAAACCATAGATATATCCCAATGGTGACTACCTGATACTTTGTAGTTTCCTTTTGCCTATTTTGGTTATTGGTTACTTATGGCCTTTCGTACTGTGTCACGAGCCAATTCTAAAAACATTGGCTTTCCATCGGGGAGCACAGCAACTGTACAGGCAGCAGCACCATGGAAGCATGCGGTGACATTCCTGCACAGGGCTCTTAGATGAGAGGACAGGGGAGCACAATCACAAAATGTGGTGACAAAGACACATTTTATGAACTTGCATGCAGAGTCTGTTTTTCTAATCATATGCATATAATGCCCCTGTTAGTACCAAGGGAAATGTCTTTGATTCCTACAGGGGACAACCGATGTCTCAATAACAGAGGCCTTACCTCCGTCGCCAGGATTCACTTCCTGCTATGTTTGCGAGTGCTACTACTATGTGGCTGTCATTTTGATCTTCTATTTTATCTCAGTAAACCCATTAGTTCCTTTTGGGCTCTGCATCTACACTGCTCAACCAATAGGATGGAGATCAAACTGTTGCAAATTCTCTAAAAGGATGAAGGGAGCAGGATTAATGTGAGATGGTGGGCTGGGTTAGTGTAACTCCTCCCTGCACCCAACAGAGCTTTCTCCTGGTCTGTTCCTGGTGCACATGGAGGGCTATTGGAGCTCTGAACTCCCTACAGTTCCTTTTGAGAGGAACTCAAATCAGTTTCTCACTGTCTTCAGTATTGGTGTACACAGTGGATTCAAAATGGCTACCATTGTGTATGGGTGGCTTATTAAACAGTTGCTAAAAATCATGTACTGCTAATGAGTCATTCTGAAATGATACTCTAGATTTACTTAACTCATCCTTTCTCAGCACTTATTGAATGAGTTAGGTCTTATGGATAACTTTTGTTAGAGGAATCATACTTTACAAATTATATGTTTGAAATATTTGATAATTTCTTGTAGTAGATGAATAGTTAAGAACACAACTCACTGTTCTAGATGTTTTGAAATATTTCAGCTGTAATTTTTTAGGGTGAAAATGGAGATATGGCAGGGTCAGTGCTTGGCCACAGTGGCAACCCAAAGAATTTGAGAGTATAGAACTGTTGTGATTCCACAAAGGCAGGAAACAGACAGCACCATAATCAACCTTAAATGCTCAGAAAATAACCAGCAACATCATTCAGTCACTCATCAGTTTCATAGACACAACAGAAAAGGACTTTTTTCAGATTAGAAAAAGTTGAGAATTGTTGGACAAAACCTACCAATACTTGGAGTGGGTGCCATGCACAGTATTGGCCCTGTACACCATGCAGAAAAACGGGAAAAGTAAAGAAAAGAGATATTCATTATTCAAGCATTACTGACAAGAATCGTTTTTAACTAGACATATATTCTTTGCAATATTAATCAGCACATGCAAAATCCAGTTCTCTTCCATGCTTACAATTATAGTTTTAAGATCACAAACCCAGGTAATCAAAGTAATTCTTGGATTCTTCGGTATAAAAGTGAACATTATTTTGAAAACAATCACCTCATTTGAATTGCACATTTATTTTGGACCAATACATCCTAAGTAACTTTTATCATAAAAAGAAGAACTTTAATTTGTCACATCTAATTAAAATATGCACTGGGATCTGGCCCCTGGAGCTAATGTGTCTGTTCAGAGTGATCACCCAACATCAATTCCACCTGCAGCTTGGAACTGAGACTGCTGCGAACATACGAGAAACAGAATTTTCATCAAGGCGGGGCTCTCAGTATGACATAGTTTTGTTTTTTGCTTTTGTTTTTTGCTACTAACGAAGGAGAACAGGATTCTTCTAATTAAATCTATAATTATAAGCCAAATTGGCTAAATCAGGCAAAAACTGTATAAAAATATTAAAAAATTTTGTGTCTTGAACAACATCGTGAAGAACTACCGTAGTTAGAAAGATGACAAAAGTCTGGTGTTTTTAATGGCTTCTTTCAAACTTCATTAATTGATTATTTTCTCAGTTAAACAATAGAGCATCTCAAGTCCTGGTATACCATACTCTGTGTTTATTATAGTTATATAATTAACAAGGCTTTCTAAATTGATTTTTAAAGTATGTGTCATTCTCGTTTCATAATAATTTCCAAACCTGAGCCTTTATTATACTGGGGGAAAAATCCCAGTGATTAATATCCTTTATTTATTCCAAACAAACTACATACTCATTTGCAAATAAGTACTGAAAAATAAGTACTAAGTAAGTGCTAAAAAAGTATTAAACGACTGGAAGAAAATTAACTACCGTGATATATAATATTTGTTTAAACACATTTCTGGCTTATATTTTCTATACAACTGGCACAGAACTGTTATTCTATTAAATACAGTTTACGTAAGAGTTCAAACTTTCATATATACACTATGCTGATTAGCACTATACTGTAATAAAAATTCAATTTATACATATTATACTATACTATAATCTAAGGACAATTTTATTATAATTACCTTTGACATATCAAAGACACATAGACAATATTTTTGCAATGCTGAAGCTGGAAAATATTTTAACTCCCCAAGTTCTTGCAAACTTGATTCTTACATTTTATAGCTACTGTGGAAGAATAAAGGATTCTTGGGTTTTTTTTTTTTTTTAGTACTTTTTTCTTACATTGTTTTTGGGGGCAAGCCACTGTCTGAAAGTGATACCTATGAGTCAAGGAATTAGTTTGAGGCGAACTAAGTGAATGGATCAGAAGCAGGACAATTTAAGAAATGCTAAAAAAGAAAACTTGACAGATTTTCCTAGTTTAATTTCAAGCCATTACTTTTCTAGGAAAACAGTCTCTTCCAAATACTAGCGGATCAAACATAAATGCTTTGTTTTGTGTCTAATCAACATCCCTGGAGGCAGTTCTGGCATAAACACTTTCTGAGTGCTGGTGTGCACTGTAAATCTTCCCAACAGCACTAAACGTGCAGTCCCCAGACCCATCCTCACCTGCAGGGATGAAGGTCGGCTGCGGGAGCTGCAGGTTAGCCAGAGCCTGCTGGCAGTGAAAAACACTGGGATTAAAGACCGGGGTGGCACCGTTGGTCTTTTCAATCGCTGATCTCTTTGGTATCAGTTGAAGTGTGCCAGGCTGAAGGGCCTGTGAACGAAGCATGGGTTAATAAATACAACCAAAAGAATAAAGAATGTACTCGGCCCCAGCAAGCATCTGTTAGATAAGGATCTGCCAGAACCTTTGCAAGCAGGTCGGTAGAGCAAGACATTCAACAAGTAGTAGCCCCACAGCAAGACAGCCAGCTGCAAAGATGAAACTCTTCTCAGTCCACAACAGAAAGTAAACACTGGAGGGGGGATGGGATGGAAAGCTTTTCAACTTTGCCCTTTTAGGCAATAAAAAAGGACCTCACTATTGGGGCAGGACATGACAGGAAGCTGTGAACAGCACAGAATCCTGTAAAATGAATATCTCAGGAAAGCGTATCTATTAAAATGAGCTAAGCAACAGCAACTTATATAGCAGGGTGAGATTTCTGCCAGTTAAAATCTAATATGGATTGACGTGATAAATGGTATGTAGGTGATAACACATGTCAGTAGAGCAGAGTTTGATGCTCTTGCTTCATAAAACATACAGCGTTCAAACCAGGACTTCAGGTTCAAGTCCTATAACTTTGTGCTTCCCAATTGCCCTTGCCCCACACAGCACAGTTAGCAAAATATACGCCATTTCCATTTATAGAGGCTTGCTGTGAATTTCAGTATGTACCTACTATTTGCTTTAAGTCTTTGCAAAGGTTTGCTTCTAAAAGCCATTAGCATTTTAAAATCCTCCTTTTATGCCTACCTGTCTTTGAAAATTCCACTGTGCTTATAATACTCAAGCTGGTCCGTGGATCAGATTCATTGACATTACCTAACTTTTTTCCCCCAGCAAACATATCCCAGCAACAGCAATTAGGTATGGCTCACATTCTAAAAGAGACAGGAACTCTTGTACTGAAGAACTAGTCTTCAACTGCCAAAAGGGGTATTCAGTGACCTCATTCCTGTAGATGATGAAGGCCTAAGATCACTATTTCTATTTTCTTTTGATCACTTAAAAAATACATACAAGCTACTTTTAGTGAAGTTAATCTACATGAATCCCTCTTTTTCAGTGTTTCATCTTTGAATCCTTAAAAGTACAAAAAGCTTAAACTTCATCAATCCTTCTTTTATTAATCTTATCTAAAACAAATTATTATAGGCCATTTTGATCAGATGACTAAGACTGCTCTGATCCATTACTTTGAAAGGAATTTCATACTGACATTTTTCACAAGTATCAATTGAAGACTTACTAAATAAATCTACATGGGAATTTGGGGCTGACTTTTAACATCAAAGCACACTTAAATCATCAGAAATAGGAACATGCATGCCTCATGCCTAAGAAACCGCTCATTGTACGTCCCATACACACGAGAGCCTTTATTTTGGGGGGTCAACTCTAACTCCCTCCCTTATAATAGCTCCACCTGTTTCTGAACTCCACACCACCAGAGAGAAATAATAAAAAAATTGGAGGCTTACTTTCTGCATGAAACATTCTGGATTCCTTGCTATTATCACAGCTTAAACTTTCTTCATTCAAAATATTTTTTTCTACTGAATTTTAAAATATATTTATTTATAATTACTTACATATCTACATCATCGTTCATTTTTGTACAACATGTGATTTCTCCTCTCCTCATTCAAAAGAATTTGGAACAAAAACAACAACAAAACTTGGTGAATCCTTTTCAAGATTCAATCATGGATTATGTTGTCCATATCAAGAAAGGAAATAAGTTTGTTCCTTTTTGAGCTTACATGTTTTACAAACTAATAGGTTCAGTTCAGAATGTGGGACTTTGCCCTTCAAAGCATAATGTATGAGAAAAGCTTAGCGAAATCTGTAGTATGTATTTTAGAGCAAAGACCTTAGAATCACTCATAGGGAAAGGGATTGACTTCTTTTGGGTAATATGTGTGAGTTCTAGTTGCAGCGAGGTATATTTCAACTCCTCGAGGAGAAGAGCATAACAAATTGGGCTACTTGAAGATAGATGTCTCTGTCTTGTGAAAAAGTAAGGTCTCTGTCACAGGCTTCCGAGTCAGATAGGCAACTTTCCCCATAGTCAGGAAACATGAGATTTTCTCAGGATTTGGTCCCTTTTTGTGGCTGTGATACACTATTGAATGAAAAAAGGCCCAAGCAGAAAAACAAATAGTAAGCAGTTTGTCAAAAATATTGACAGCTGTGATGAACTGAAGTCATCCTAATTTCTGTTTCCCAACCTATCACACTGTAGTGTGTAGTATTGCCACCTCCATTCTTTTGGTGTTACAGTGACTAACTTTGCCACAAAACTGGCACACCAAGGGCAACTCCACTGACAGACCTGTTCTTCCAACCCTGTGGAACATCATCCCTCCTGACCCCACCCTGGGTTGCTTAAGGCTACTCCCCTGGAAGGAAATTAGAACCTATTCACCAGTACATTTTCCATCCTGGGGTTCAGAATGGTATGAAGGATGTTACTAGCAAAGTGCATAGGGGAGGGAGCTGTCTGCCCTTTTAGGACATTAAGGTTGATTAGGCTATAAAAGCCACTCAAAATAATTTCCTGTTTAAATTATGTAAGTTACTTATTGTCTAAAAATGGAAGAAAGGCACAGTAGATTAAAAGCACAAGTAAAGCTTTTTAAAACAATTATCTTGAAAAAATGTTAGTGAATAAAATAAACTAAGATTCTCTCTGTGGTTTTTGATGTAGCCGTTCATATTAAAGTCCACAGAGGAGTGTTCAAGGTGATGATTGTGGGACAAAAACGAGGGACTGTTCCCCCTGCTCCCCACCATCCCGCCGTGCTCACCATGGCCGCAGCAGTTGAGTGGTTCATCTGGTGATGCGCTGCCTTGAGTTTGGCTTGCAAGTGGGCAGGAGGATGAAAGTACTTGCATTTCTCCCGAGAGCATCGACCTTTGATGTAATCCATGCAGATGGTCACAGTGTTATCACTTGCTTCAATCATGGAACTATCTGTGGGATGAGCATAGCGGCAGTCGTTCTCCCCACGGGTACAATTTCCACGCTGAAATTCTCGGCAAACCTTAAAGAAAACCAAACAAAAAAACAAACATCACATTGGTGACTAGCTTTCATATATGCTGTCAGTGTATGTGAGAGCAATACTAGACACTGTTTGGTCATGCATTTAGGAAGAAAAAAGTAAAAGCTGTAGCCACTGAGATGTAAACACAAATTGGCTATTCCTAGAGAAAATTCCATTCTTCACAAACACCAATTGTTTGTTTTCCAGACATTGGAAGAAAAGTGTTTAAAAGCATTTTTGAAAACCACTTTGGAATCCTCTCCTAAACATACAGCCTAACACTCAATGAGTTAAGTTTGCAAGAGGGGATTATTTTGCTAAGTTCTAAGATGAGTTTTGATCACATAGCTCTGTGTTTTTCCACAGCTGATTTGTGGACCATGTCTGAATTACATGATTTCATTACAATATTTTAACAGGCATTTAAGGGGCTGTCAAGGGAGCCAGCTTTGTAAGATGAACTTGTGTTTTTTTTTTTTCATTTATGAAGAATGACAGTTAAGAGAAGGTTGAAGGACTTTCATACATCAAAAAGCTTGTTGAAATTTCTTTTCGACTTCCTTTTCTTGGGCATCTAGGGATATTATTATCTCCTACATCATTCTTCAAATGCAAAAAGTAGTTTAGAGACTCATCTACATTCTGCATTCACAGAGTTAGATGAGTCTACTTTGTTCCCCTGTTGGATTATTCAAGCAAGTCGAGATGAACAAATACAATAGTACCAGTCTGTAAAGCCGGAGCCAAAAGACAAGGAAAATTCCTGCCAGACTTCCTGGGCTCGTCTCCCTACTGTACACGTGAACCCAAGTGGCTACGGTTGCTGTAGCAAAATATATTTTTATTTTTCTGAGCTAGTACTCCATAAGCTAGAAATTGATGTGCACGTCTGGCTTGGAGAAGGCTGCTTGGGGCATAAGGTTAACACCCACCTAACAGATATTTACATATTTGCACAAAAATACCTCCAGTTTATCTGAGCGCATCAGTTTTGGACCAGCAGCTCCGGGCACCTGGAGAGGTGGGTTTCCCGGAATTAGAACCGGTGCATTTGGTAAGAGTTCGGCAGGAACCAGGCCCATTCCAGGATGAGGTAAGTAAGGGTTGAAAGTCATGGCAGGGTTCGCTGCAAGTGGTGCATTCACCGGAAAAGGAGGCTGCATTTTGAAAAGAGAAGGGAGGAAGATGTTACACAGCTTCCTCCTAGAGTCCCAGGCAGGCACCTGCAAGCTCAAAACCTAAGACACATTAACATTTGCTGCATTTCTTTGGATTTATTTGTCATCACACACTAATTCCCACACAGGTGTTGCTTTTAAACACATCTCTTTGAGCAGTGACTTTACTATTAAAGTGATGAAAACAAGATACATACCGTAGTGCCTACTTAAAGAGGGGAGGGGAGAGTATATATTTTTCAATGATATACAATGTTGTATATCAATGTTACCTTAACACAAATATAAAAGTAAAAATTTCTTCTGTTTGTGGTGTTGAACATGGTGGGGAAAGCCACATAATTTTAACAGTCATGGATTAGACAACAGAGTTCACCTTCTTTTTACCCAAGAACCATGTCACCAGAGGTACCTGTGCGGCACTCTGCCTGGCCGCTCTCCTTCCACAGCCATTGCTTCCCAGGCGGCCTGCAGGATCTCTGGAAAGGTCCCTTCCTCCCAGCCTCCTCCACCCTCTTCCTCAGAAGGACCCTGTGGCCCGGAGGCTGCCTTCTTGCCACTGTTCCTATCTGCCCCACCAAACATGGAGTCTCTCCTTGACCCACTACCAACTATGGAATATGTGGAGGAAGAAAGGGGTAGATTTTCAAAAGTGAGTGCTATTTACCCAAAATGAGATTGGTATGGTCATTTACAAAAAAAAAGAAATAAATAAATAGGTCTTATGTCACAAACTAATCCGACTTGCCTGGCCTTGTTTTTATCTAGACGGTTAGATGATCTCCACAGTTCAATGAGAGGCCCTGGAAGGACTCCGGTTAGGCAGAAAAAGATATTGGGATTATAAAGTATATAAAGCAGAGGAGAATTTGTAAAGAAAAGCCTTAGAATTGCAACAGGGTATTACTGGTGTTTCCATATGTTAAGTCTTAATCTCAGAGTTTGTTAGATATTGTGTTTATTATCTGTAAGCCACATAACTTCTCCCTTTCTGGTTTCCATTCTGCTGGTTTCTAGTTTTCTTTCTAATGTGGTTACTACTCATTTGACAGTCATCTTATCTCTGCGAGAGTCTCCAACACCAGTGAATGACTGCTTGACTGATATTAAAACCATAAAGCTTAAAAATCATGCAAATATTTTAATGAATTAACAAATCACGATTATCTAGTACACTTCTAATGGTGACCCTGGCAGGTAGTTAATGCACTGCTGTGCAAGTGAAGGTGTTCATTCTTGCTTTCTTTTTATTTCTTTCACTGAAAAAAAAAATATTGAAGTTGTTGCACTGCCAAGCTGTGCCCCTAACTCCTAAAATACAGAATAAGGACACATCTAAGGACAGGTAGAATAGGAGGCCTTGGATCAGGAAGTAAAGGACAATCTATCTTCACTGTACCACACCCCAACATGACTGTAAAATTTCCCTAGTGCAGTAGTTCCCATGAAGTGCCTCGGAAGGAAGGACGGCTCCTGCGTTAATAGTGTGTCTTGGACTAATTTACCAGATTAGTTAATTAATATGCACATGAAAAAAAAACTGAAAGAAGTTGGTCCTCCCAAATGAGCAAGATTCACTCAGGTGAGCAGAGAAGACATTGTAGTCAAGAACTTGGGGCAGAGAGCAAACCTAGGTATTAGAGAAGATGATGGAGGTGATTTAAGGTTTGAGGGCAAACAACCAAGGGTTGATAAATATGCATCAATTGGTAACACTGAAGCCCAAGGTATATTGCAGCAGTGGTTCTTATTTACTTCCATCACCTTTCTTTGTGTGGAAATATTCCTGGTTAACTTCTACTTCCTGTGTAATACATTTAACCATTTTGATGTGTTCTATGCTCCAGGCCTATGAAAGCAAGCTGTAAATTCACTAAACATCGGCCCTCCCTGGTGGTGCAGCAGGTTAAAGCACTGCACTGAGAAGCTAAAGCCACTTTGCATGAGTTCGATTCCCGCCTGCCCCAGAGGCGACCACATGGCGTGGCAGACCTCTCCTGACCTGCCTGCTGCTCCCCTCAGCAGTGTACTTCATCCATCTGCCTATTCTGCTCCACACTCTGTCTCTGGTGAAGCCTCTCACCGCCCCTGCACCTCTGGTCTGTACTCCAGTTCTGTATGTACAAATAAATAAATTTAAAAAAATCATTAAACATCTATATATAAAGTGCAAGGGGTTTGCTGAACATGTTAAAATAATTTTAAAGGCTTTACCACAAACTACAATGAGCCACCTCTAGGTTTTAAAATTAGTATTGTAGTGTTTATAACTATTTTCTCCTTGAATATAGATTTCATTCTATAACACTGTTGAGAAGAAGCACACTTTTCTGTTCTCGAGTCTGAGGTATAGACAGGAGCTACTGAGCAACTTCGTGTTCATTTTCAAAGGGACATTTCTGTTTTTTCACCATCACCTCTGCACCAGGGTAACTTGTCAAATTTCAAGAATTTGAACACTGAAGGACCTAATTTTGACCAAGAAATAAAGCTCTCAACTATTGTAGAGTAAAATATAAACCTACTAATGTGAAAGCAACACTGTGTCAAGAAAGCACAAGTTCGAAAAGTTTGATTTTAGAAACTAGTTCTAAAGTACTCATTAAAATGTTCTCTCACGTAGTTATTCAAATTAAGTCTCTTAAATACTTGTTTATAGGAAAGTAACTATTGAGTGACTAAGAATGGGGAGAGAATAGTTGGAATCCTGTAAAGGTAAAATCTTAAGAGTCACCATAGACTGATTAAAGGAGTCTGAAACATCTCTGAATAATAATACAATTCAATGAAAAACTATGCTTCAAATATGTCGACTTTATATACACATTTTAGAAGCACTAACTTATTACTTAAAATGGCTTATCCCTTAAGTTAGTATAATGAAATAAAAAATAAATGTCATGCTAGATTGTGTCCCTGGAACAGCTTACATGTAGTTGTAGTCACTTCAATAAAATCTAAGCTCATTGACAATTATTGTTGGTTACAAATGTTAAGGGGCAGGATGTCCTAAAGGAACTCTGCAGTCTTGTGGACTCCACCCCCTACTCCAGCTTATTGGACTCTATCCCCTACTCCAGTGATTGGAAACTACAATTCCCAACAGTACCGGGGAGACAACTGCGAGGACCCAAGGGCAGAGCTAAGCAGGAATTCTGGGACATTGGGGGATAAATAGGGCGCCATTGTGTCTCTTGCTCGAGAAACGGCTCTCCGGACTGTGTGACTTGGCTGTTTTCAGTCAGCGGAGCTGGTAAGGTATTCCAGTTACATTGTATCCCACTCTCTTTTCCCTGGGTTGTTTCCTTTTCTTTTCCCCCTTTTGTAAATAAACCCATTTTGACTCTTTTGTGTGTACCTGCAGTATAACTGAATTTTAAGCCCGCAGGTGAGGCCCCACAGACAGGAGGCCTAGTCACACTGAGGTGCCCTGTAACACAAACACAATACTTTAGGTCTGTTATGCTAATCCGAGCCTGAAGTCAACATAGCAATTGAGGCATTCCCTCTCTTAGCTCCTGTCTAGAAGTGAATAACTAAACATGTTCTTTTATTGGATGGTAAATATCTGGCAACAATGTGCTGACTTAACTTTAGTATCAGAAAATAGCACACTTAATGTTTACTACCACTCATGAGACCTTCATTTTAATGTTCATTTACCAGCAAATTTATAGTATAAAAGGAAATCACCTTCACCGTCACCATGCTTATTTCTATGCTTAGATAATCCCCAAACATATTGAAATCTCTGTTAGCTTCCCTCAGACCTTAATAGTTATTCACACAGAGCACCACTGAGTAATCTTTGTGTCACATTTTGTGTTCAGTCATCTCCACACTCTTTGAATGATGTTCTGGGGACAACAAAATGGCCACAAAACATCCAGACTAGTTAATTGGTCCCTCAATAATTGAGAGTTAACTTTATAAACAGATGCCAGCAGGTAGTGGTGTTTATATACTAATCATACCTGTTAATGAGTAAGTCACTGTGGCCTCAGAGATAGCTAGGGGACAAAAATAAGTTCAAAGGTCAAAAGTGAATAGTTGCGCTCACATAGCTCTGGCCTTCCTGGGCTTATTAGTCATCACAGTCTCCAAGCAAGAGGAAGCACTGAAGGCAGGCAGGCAGCAGGCAAGGAGCCACAGGCTAGTGGGGGGTATAAAAGATGTAATGTACAGTGTGTGCAAACACACAAATCATGGCTGGGATTTGGAGAGAGGAGAAGTTGAAGCGTGAGGCTGGGTGTCACAAGGGAGAATCTCCACACAGATCAGAGTGACGCTGCATACAACTGGTGAGGGCCTGGCAAGAGGGCAAATGACTTCTTCCTCAGATAAGCAAGGCAGATTCGACTTTGCTCCTGAGAAGCAAGCAGAACTGACTTCAAAATGTTTTGTTGGCAACCACCACATAATAGTAACAATTCAATTAACTTCAGTAGCCCACTTGGAAAGGAAAAGTATTTTTAAAAATATCACAGGGTTACTCAATTTCAATAAGGTTTATGAAACATGGGTATTGGCGACAGAGACAGTAAAAGCTGAGAAAAACAAAGCAGCCACAAGAAGCCTGAAGATTAGAAACACCTCAGGACAAGTCCAGGGGAAAAGGATTCAGGGCATAATTTTCAGAGGTTCAACCAGCACCCCACCACCAAAAACAGTAACACAAAGTAAAACAAAATCTTATGTGGCTAATAGATAGCTCTAAAGAGGAAAATGGAAAAGTCCAAAGTTGTAAGAATATGGAAGATCAGGAACAAATCAGAAATTAAAGGAATCACAAATACATTAAATCACTGACACACTATTTAGTTGGGTCATCCACTCTTTGATGGTAAAGATAATTCTAGGTCATTTTTAAAATACACTTACTATTCCCTTAAATGCCTGGCACAGAGTAGATATTCAGTAACTACTTACTGCATTGTGTAAAAAGGATACTGAAACCATTGATTACTTTTAGGTTTACC